TAGACCTTGATTTCATGAACTGACCTTTAATTCTCAATGTTTTTCAAGTTTAGACAAGTTTAGACAAGTTTCCTCAAGTTATTGGTCCAAATGATGAGTTTTGAAGTGTTAAAATCAAAATTTGTAGCTTGGAAGCAATTCTGGAAATTCCAGAATTCTGTTCCTACGCTCGAGCGTAGGAATCCACGCTCGAGCGACCACTCTGAGAGTGTGAACTTATGCTCGAGTGACCAGAAGTCTGCTCAAGCGTGAAATGTAAGCTTCCAAAAGTTCTTATGTTTTGCAGCACACTCGAACAACAAAAGTTGCGTTCGAGCGAGCGTCGAATGGAAAAATCAAGCAACCAGCATTTTTGCAAAAGTTTACAGGCCGCTCGAGCGACAGATCTTGCACTCAAGCAACCATTCACATTTTACATGTCCGCTCGAGCATAGGAAGTCACTCGAGCGAGGACCTTGTTTTCAACACTTTTTGTTAAATGTTTTCAAGTGCATTTTTGCGTTCTTTTTTCATCTTAGGCTTTCCTAGGCCAAGATTAAGACACCATAATAAGGATAAAGAAGTAGAAACACACCAAGACAAAAAAGAACTAAGTTAATGATTCCGGGTGTGTAATTCAGTACGTATTCATTTTGTATATGTGTACGTCACATGCCACAAGATATCTGAATTGCCTACTCTGTCCGTTACTTGGAGCCATTTGTTATCTGTGAGTAATAACTTTGTAAAGCTATGTTCGAGTTAAATTATTTTCTGTATATGAAATAAGATTTGTTCTATGAAATGCCATGTTTTATACTATGAATGATTGTCCAACTCTAACAAATGTTTGTGGTATTATGCTATGATCCAAGTATGCTATCTGTACCCGGCTGGGGGTTCCTCTATGGAACTGACAAGTATAATCTATGATGCTTTGTATATGATCTGTTAGCGTTAACGGATAAATCATGTATGATCAAGCATGAATTCTAAATTATGTATATTTATTGAAGAAGAATACGAATGTGAACTAGCTTAGTCATGGGACATCATTCATTTAACCCTTTACTCTGTTATTATTCACTAGGCTCCGGCTCACTATTTATATTATGTATGTAGGTGATCAGGCACATGACCAGGCTTAGAGTTGAGGACCTAGCGTCTCAGTTTTTGTCAGCCAACCTTTGCACCTCCCAAAGAGTTTCCGAACCAAGTCAAGTCTAGTGACTGTGTTGTTATGAATGTATAAGACTTTGTTTCTCTTACTCCATAAACAAGTTTCTCTATTTTTATGTATATGGAGTGACGTATAAATACTGTATCTTTTGACGTCACTCGTATATTTATAAAAGTTTAATATTATCTGTCCCATGTATGTCTTCATAGCTTGATAGACTCTGTATATTTTATGTATTTGCTTCCGCAGCCCCTAATTATATATTATTATGTTAAGAGGCCTTTGGTAATTCAAGGATTACTGGCCGGTTACGACGCTAAACCTATAGAGGCGAGTTTGGGTCGTGACAGGAATGGGACTCAAGCCTATTAAATAAAAGTTACTACAACAGAAACACAACCTAGTTGACTGGAGATCCTAAGATCTAGGTTCAAATGGACAACCGAGTTATGTATGACTCATAAGGATCACTAGGAAGTCAAACTCCCACCAATTTCTATGATGAAATAATGATGTCTGCAGCGTTTTAGGTTAAGTAATATATTTAATGATTCTTATATCTAGGAATACCTAGTGGAGTATGGCAGGATACTCTTCATTAGAATCACTTATATGAGTGTGAACTGGGCCGGTTCTACAAGATTTGTGAAGGGCTATAATTCTTTAGAACACTCATGAAAGACCAGGTTATTTAGGGCCAAAATGAACACAATAGTAAAAACTAAACTGTGTCTGGTAATATGCTGTGTGAGTTCTATTGTCTTGGTTTATACAAATGGCTGAACAGTTGAAGACATCATATTCACTAGTTAGCTAGTAAATCCGATAGTGTCTCACAAGAAAAGGTTCAAAGCCAAAAGCTACCTATTTTTTGCAAAATATTTCCAATTTCTGCACTCTATGTAATTAGATCATGTTGTTACATTTTCTCTCTGTCAAATTTCATTCATGTGGGAGATTGTTGGAATTATGATTTTTATAGGCTTATTTTGGGCCAACTTTGAGCCCAAATTTGAGTGGGTCTCACACGTTTTTTGAGGTGTGTCCAAAGAGGTGATGTGTTCCTTGCCACATGGCAAGTCACTCGGTAAAGATGGTTCGTTAAAACCATTTATGAGTGAATGGGAAGTTGACGTCGTTTTCGGGTTCGTGGAATGGACAATTAAAAAATAAAATGTGAGTTTCCTTGTAAGACTTGTCCCACATTGAAACTTTAAGAGAGCTTGTGTTTGTATTTAAGCTCTAGATGGCAACACTTAGATTGGGCTCCAAGGGGCATCCCAAGTTTGTAGAAGGGAGGAGTTATGGACAAAGTGAACCTTGGCTTAAACCACCACACACGCACGAGCGCCACAGCCGCCGCCGTCCATCCATCCGACCGGTCGGTCGAACCGTGCAGGGTGCAGGTGTGGGTTGTGGGTCCGTTTGGTTCTAACTTTAATTTTTTGGACAAAACTTATTTGAATTTTTTCAAAAATTCTTGCAGGGAAAATTTGAATTTTGCATCAATTTGAATTTAAATTTTTTGCTTCGAACCCATGTGTCTTTTCCAAAACCAATCTAGACAGTTTTCAACCTGTTTTTCACTGGACAGATTCAGTTCTTTCCAACAAATTAAAACTGGCAGCATTTCCAATAGATTAAAACTGCCCAGCAGTTATCTGTTCAAATTTGAATTGCACCTGTTCAATTCAAAATTGTATCTGTTCGGATAGATCTATAGGTCACCTATTTGCCTATAAATACGACAATATTCCAACAGTTTGTTCACTGGAAAAATACACTTGTTGCTCTGAATTTTAGCTCTTTTGCATTATTATTCTTCATATTAGTTTTTAAGAAAAATTCTGAGAGTATAAGAACACAGGTTTGGTTCGCCGTACAAATTATTTGGAGTGTTACTACAATTTGTGTAGATCATTGTATCCTAGGAGATAGACGTCATTTATTCGTAAGTACTGAAGAAGGGCAAATCTATCTTAAGGACAGGGTGTCACACACTTGACTTGATCTATTTTTGTACTTGTTCATTTCGGTAAAATAAATTCTGTAAGTAATTTATAGGCAAAGCAAAGCTTTATCAAAACTTTATAACATAGCTTTATTAAAAATACCACTCACATAGTTCTTCAAACGTCGGGGTCAAGGCAAAAGTCCAAGTCCTACAAACACATGGCAAAGTCTATTGAACGCACTTTCAAACAAGCTTCACATGCAAACGGATGATTCGACATTTTGTTTCTCATCTCGGGAAAACATGCTGGGCACCAACCAGGTCTTGGCCGAGGTCCCACACCTTCTCGCCGAGGTGTGGTCCCGACGGTCACATTCAAAAGCGAAGTCGGGAAAATCTGGGTTTCCCTTTGAGGAACATGAAGAACATGAAGATGGGGAAGATGAAGAACATGAAGATGGAGAAGATGAAGAACATGCATGTTAAAATCATAACTTGTTATTACAAGATCTGAGATTTCATGCTATGAGTTCGAAAACATGGACCTTGATACCCATACTTGAAGATCATATGAAAACAAACACGAAAATATGCATCTTGATACAAACTTTCGGATCAAAACATGGTTTTTCCTCAAGAATACATGAACATCACTTTCTCTTTCTAAAACCGAACTTCAAAACAATGCATGGCTCATGAAACATGGTAGATCATGCAATGCAGCTAGATGAACAATAAGAACAACAAGAGTAGACCAAGAATCTAACCTTAAAATACGGATCTAACGGTTCAAGGTGTGAAGATCAAGCTTGGAAATCTACCTCTCTCTAGAATTCCTCTTCCTCTTCCTCTTCCTCTTCCTAGAGCTTCTCTCTCTTCTAAGACAAGGATATAGCAAATGATATGTTTTTCTCTCTCTGCCGGCTGATTTAACCCTCTACAGGGACACGTGGCACTACCGGATTGGTTCTCCTAAAAAAGGTGATTGAAAGACAAGACAAATGTATGACAAATTGTGTACAACAAGCTAGATGACATGGGCACTCCGGTAGGTAATAATCTCGGCTAAGGACATAGGCTTCGGCAAGTAAGGTCTCAATGATCTCGGCTAGGAAGGATAACACTTGGCCAAGCTGTGACACACCTCGGCCTAGATGTGCCACACCTCGGTCTAGGTCATTCCAGTCCCGGAACAAGATCACTAGGTGCAAGGATCAAGGATCTCGGACGCCTAGGTGATAACATCTCGGCCAATATGCCTAGGTGATGGTGGAGGTCAACCAAAGTGGTTCCAAAATGATCCAAAGTGTAAGAGGTTCAAATGTGTGACCTAAGCTTAGCATGACCTAGGCTTGAGACAGTAAGGAAGGAACAAAGCATGCACACAACACTTAGGCAAAACATGATAGCATCAAGACAAGACAAGAATCTTTACCTAGGCAAAACAAGTCTAAATCTACAAATACAAGCTTAACAAGACAAAATCATAAAAATGCACATGAACATGTCTAAGACATGAATGTGGGTTATTACACATTTTTTGTTTGACTTCTCATTTCAACAACCAAACTACAGGTGTTGTAGCACAGGTCAATTTTATGGCATTCTATAAAGCATTTCTATTTTAGATTATTATTATTTTTTCCCTTGCCGGGTTCATAAAGCAAATCACGTCATACAGAGATGCCGATCTCTGAACGTAAGAGAAGATTACAGATAGAAGCACAATGTATGCATGTGTGAAAAGATTAGCGTTAACCCAAATAACCAATCTTGCAACAACAATTTTCTTGGCAACAGTGAGTAAATGGACAACTACTGGATCAAAGTGAGTAAATAATCAAAAAGGTGTTAAAAACATTGAGTAGGCCAAAAGATCAATGCGGATAAGTAAAACACATCTATCTACATACTAAAGAATCAAAGCATCTCAGCAAAAGGTGGTTTTACATCGGTTTTCTCCACTCAACCAAGTCAATTAGGCCTATAAAATTGATTACAATGATGTTTGGAAAGCATAAACCAATGCTGCAAATGAGATTGCCCTCCATCTCTACAACCAAACAAAATTAACTATAATTTCCTTGCACAAAATGGGGCAAAAAATTGTTTCACTGCTGAGATCCACCAACTAACACATAATAGGAACATGCGCTAGTATCAGCAACATCCAGAGTAAGAAGCAAGCCTGAAAAAAACAACACAAAAAAAAAAATGAAAAAATAGAACAGTAAGAGTAGAAGGGAAGGGAAAAAATAATAATAATAATAATAATGGAAACACAATGAGAATGACAGATAAATCTAAATTCGAAATGGGAGAGAATACCACAATACTATGTTTATTTAATTCAAAACTGCAGTACCATGAGTTAGTACACACTGCAGTATCATAATTATTTAATTTAGATGTTACAAACTTATACAACTGTACTATCAATTTGAAAGTGCAAATGAATTGACAAGACCAATTGAATTAACAAAAATATCAATCTCTCTGATGAGTGATCATGAAACTCAATGAAGTGTTCTACTGTATCAAATTCCAAACGACTTGGAACATTAAAAGTAATATTGCAAGAGTTCTGGATCAACTTATCATGGTTTAGTGCATTAATTGAACATGAATTTTATTGAGTATCGGCTTAGGTCACAATTCCCTCATTAAAGAGACTCAAGTTCGAGTCTCCTTATCTTACCTATCAAAAATTGTATTTAATTGGATTGATTTAGTTCCTTTTGGTGTACTACCTATGTGTCATGCGCAAGAGTATAATTGCCACTGAGAAGGTGATAGGAATTGATGTAAATCTTTTTATCAATTTCAGTAATATTCTTCTGTGGCTACATGACTTTTAATTATTCCTCCCAAATAGTGCCATCACTTCCTTGGGGCCATCGGACTAGAAAAAAACCCTTGAATTAACTATGGTGTACTTGCAGAAAACTCCATGCCGAGAGCTTATGCACCCCTTGGGATTAGTCAGGCGTTGATCTGGATATCCCGGTGCCAATCAAAAAAAAAAAAAAGTATTCCTCCCAAATAGTGCCATCATGTTACAAACAAAAAGATTTAATTAATAAAGAGTAAACAATATAAAGGACTAATGAATTTCGTGAAACCTTTACCCTTGTGCCAATAATCATAAACTGGATAAGCCAATCTTTCCATTCCTGCATGGCAGCAGTTGAATCTCAATAGTAATATGCAGGAGAAATTCTTATATCATCTTGTGCCTGAGTCTAACAAATCACATAATGTTTTCACCTGATACAGAGAGCACTCTACACAACTGAGAAGTATGAACTACAGAATTCTGGTGAGAACCGTTATCGTTTCATCCATTCTTTAAAGTAAGACTGCATCTTATCTCGATTAGCAGCATTTCCAATATTTACAGTTGGAATTATCTTGTCAGGCCTGAGAAACTGGAAAATGGATAATGACATTGACAATTATTAGTCAGGAAGGGCTATCTTATCCATGAGTAAAATTTCAGAATCAAACCTGAACAAACTCTTGTAGTTCTGTGAAGCTGGAGTGCTCGCTATATGGAACTCCTGTAGAAATAGCCATGGAGCGTTGGTTGTCATTGATAACTAGGATCATCTCAAACCATCAAAAAAATCTTGAAAAAGTGGTAGCCAGGTATGGCCAAAACTAAGCTTCCAGCCTCTTGATATAGTAAAAATCAAAGTTTGCTCAATAAACCATATCACAGTGGTTCATATACAGACACTAAATATTCGTATTTGTGGAGGGTTAATGCATCAGCGCTTTGTATGTTAATATTGCTCATAAAATCCCATTCTCACCATAAATTGTGACAATGCCTCTGGAAGTGGGTTTTATTAGGTCCAAGCAATTACCAATCGTTTCAGAGTAAGTCCAACCTGAAGAAGAAGAATAAGCATTCTTCTGCAATTAATAAGAAAAACACACATATAGATTACAATGTCAATCAGTTGCAACGGGATCTATGTCTGACCTGTTGGCCTAAATGCCAAAACTGCTGTATACTGATTCATATACGGCTTTAAATAATGCTCTAGGATCTTCAGAGAAAAGAAATGGTGATCATCTGATATAACATCAAAATGGTTCTACCAAAAGATCAAGTGGTCTATTTAGAACCAAACCTCGAATCTCAGAGATGACATGGGCAGTACATGGAGAGGTGTTTCATTCCCTTGTGAACACAGATTCCCAGAAAGTTCAGGCCAACCAAAAGACTGCAGAATACGCCTCCTTGTGGTGTTTGTATATATTTTAACCTACAACATTTATATGAACAGTTATAACTAGTTAAATCTTAATCCGTGTGTCTTTCAGTCTATGAAACAAACTTCACAGCATAACTATGATGCTATTTTCACATAAGGGGGAGAGAACTTAAGCTAACAAAAGTAGATTCCTTACATGTGGTATTGACAGCCAATGAGATTGTTGTTGCATCTAATGTAAGGCATTATAACATCCATCCAGGAGTTTTAACTTATTGATGAGATTTCATTTCTGAAAACATCTTCAGCAATATTAAGATGATTGAGCAAAATAAAACCCATTAAGTTCAATATAGTTCTCAGTTTTTTATTGTAAATGGGGCATATTATGAGTCAATCATCAACATGGTTTTCAATCAGGCCAAATAATGAATTTCATTAGGTAACCACCACAAGATGAAAAGTGAGAACACACAAGAAGAAAAAAAAATTTAGTCCAGCACCAAAATAAAATGAAAAAATTAGAAAAAGTGAATAAGTGTACCCCTAAAGCCTTGGAAATTGCAAGATAAACACATTCCTTCCCGATGCTATACGCCCCAACAATAACAAGGGTTTTGGGTTGCTTCCTCAGACAGTTCTGCGTGATTCTCACAACAAAACTCATAACATCTTCTTTGGAAGGGAACCTGCTTATAATCTCAAAATTTTAATACATCAATTTTTATAAGTTAGTTTACAAGATCTGATAAGAGCAGTTTCTCACCTGTACTTCGGGTTGCAGTATGTCGTGTCAAGATAAAGTGCATTGACTCGTTGGTTTATGAGAAGGGGATAAGCATGCATAAGTTTACTGGCTCTAAAGTCTCCGGTGTGCAAATAACGTTGTCCATTTGGAAGACAAAAGTGAATAAGAGCTGCACCGGGGCAGTGATTAGCTTCTAACAGTGTCACTTTGATTCCATCGATGACATGTTCAGTACCTAATTCCAAAGGACGGATGAATCTGTAGAGCACAGAAAGCAGATATCAAATTGCAGGATTAAGCAGAGCATGTGGCAAGAGGGAAGATCAATAAAAACAATAACATAGTTACAAAGTGAAATTACCAAAAAAGGGTAATCTACAAATTTTAACTGCATGTATAGTGCATATAACTAAGCAGCAATCAAACAGGACAATGAGTTCCTTACAATGGATTAACATATAGACACATTCTGAGCAGCCGAGCGGTGAGAGGGGTACAATAGATGGGGCCATGTGACCATCCCTTGGTCAAGCCACCATAGTGATCAGCATGGAAGTGACTTAGGATATATGCATTGCAACCTTCAATGCAGCCATAGCGGAATGCATCTACAGTGAAGGGTGTCCCTGTTGAATAAAAGAGAGCAAAATAACAAATTTCAGGAGAAAATGCAACCAGTGACATGATTGGATGACTGGGTTTTTAAAGCTGAACTGAATAGTGTTGATTTTTAATGTTGGGTGGGTGGTCGGGCCTGAAACACCAGAGAAGTCCAATAGCAAACTCGGGCGGGCATCTCCTATGGCCAATGGTTCTTGGGATGTATGTAGACTATTGTACAAGGGAAGGGGAAAATATTGTTTGAATCTATTTACAAAGCCTCCACAAATGCATTGAATTGAAGCATAATAACAAAAACAAAATTGGGGACTTGTGTTGGCGAATCTGCATTATACTATGATTGACCCTGATGCTGAATGAATGTACTCAAAAAGGGGGCAAAAACCAGAAAAGAAATTAGAAACTTGAAGTGGTTTTCAAAACTATAACTAGTGGTGGGAGGGAGGGAGCAACAAGTGGAATAATTCCTCTTGTAGGCATGTCCTGAACCTATTCAAAGTTTTATACGGAATGAATCTTAGCTCAGATGCCAAGAAGACACATGAAAACCCTAAAATAATCAATGTGGAAATGCTCAAAATTGAGAGAGAGAGAGAGTATACTGTATAGTATAGTGTGTATTGTTAGTAATGGCCGCCCATGTGGCATGACCACTTGAATTTGAACCTTATCCAAATAGGTTTTGAAATTATCCAAATAGGTTTTGAAATTGAATTCAAACCTATTTAGATAACCAGGATACAGATATTATCTCCATTAACTGATATGGATAGATAATAATAATACATTATATATCTGGTATATGGTATATGGGTTATGGTTGATTTATGGTTGATTAAGAGAAAAACAACGTATGATCTGAGTTTTACCCATCAAGTCATTTGCACATTTGTGTGGTGATATTCACTGCTGGATTGGTTTATCAATTCTGGAAGCAATTTACCCACGAGTTCTATCATCTAATCTAAATATTTTATCCCCCGCATTTTTTATACTTTGATTTACATGTATTGTATAGTGTATAGTAGTGGTGGGAATGTGATAAGAAAAATGAAGGGACAGAACATAACCTGGGATTTTCTTATAGAAGGGGCAAAGACGGGGACGCTGCTGCTGCTGCTGCTGTTTGTTGGCAAATCCAGAAGAAGTATTAGTAATGCTACTAGTTTTGCTCTTCTTGTTGATGTTGATGTTGGTGTTGGTGTTTGATTTCATTTTGGAAATGGTGGTGGAGGAAGGGGAACCAGCAGAGAACATGGACTTGATCTTCTTATTTGGAGGAGGATGGTGATTATCATCCACAACATCATGGTTGTTGTTGTTGTTGTTGGGGGAGCCCCACCCCCACATCTGGAAGAGATTTGTCTGTTTGAGGCGCCGCCCCAGACCCAGCATGGTGGCATTGGGATGGTTGTTGGTGGTGGGCTTGTGATTTTCCAACAAAGAAGACCAATCTGTTCCGCATCCATAGAAATCTGATGCGAAGCTACTATCTTCTTCTTCTTCCGATTCTTCAATTGATCGGATAGTATCTCTTCTGATGCTGCTATTATTCTCATCATTATTGTCGTTGTGTCGAGGAAAACCATCGTCGTCCATCAGATTCAGAAGAGATAGGGTTTCATCCTTATCACAATCACAATAATTGGAATTGGAATTGGAATTGGAGGAGAGATCATGGTTTTCTACTCTTTCGTCGTCTGCGATCGCCGCCGCCTCCTCCTCCTCCTTTTCCATATTTTTCCTCCTCCGTCGTATTGTATAGCAGCATATTTTAAGGAAGGCGGATTTCAGAATTCCGACAGGACTTGGCGCCCTTTTTTTAGTATTAAAAACTACACCGACACATTTGGGGCAAAATTTTAAGAGAAACAAAAATGCTCCCGACCTCTAAACTTTGACCACTAAATTACCATTAATGACGTGGCTGCCTACGTGGAAAACGGATGCAAACTCATCCGTTTCTCCCTCTTTCTTATTCATTTGAAATTTGAAATTCATTTTCATTTCAAACTCTCTCCATTCTTCCTTCTCTTCACTGTTGTGCCTCTCCTTGGCGACCTCCCCGACGAGCGAAGCTCTGCAACACCGGCGAGCGAAGCTCTGCAACACCGCAAGACAAACCTAAAATGTAAACAAAAAAAAAAAAGAAAAAAAAAAGAAAAGGCATAATTTAGAAAGAAAAAAATCACTAGAAATTAAATTTTTTTAAATATATACATATATATAAAACTTTTTTTGGTGAATACCAAACACTAACAAATGCCAAAGCAATAAAACTGTCATTGTAACCAAAATATCATAAGTTTCCATATATGTAGATGCAAATGCAGATGATCAGCTCCTAACTACACATTGATTTCAGCAGTCCACACAATGACCCAAAGGGGATCTAAATCAATTATCACAATTTCAATAGGCATCAGCCAATCCTACACACCATACCAACAATTAGCATAGAGAAAAGGAAAATGTTATGATGTTCACCCTTAAAATGATGCATATGGTACACTTTTATGTTATTTTAGTTCCTATATTTTCAAATCGTTCGATTTTAACATTGAATTTTATATTTTGTCTCTTTTTGTTCCAATTAGCAATGGTAGTTAAGTCTTTTGACAGAAATTGGCCATGTGTATGTCGGGAGCTTCTATTTGCACATCCCCATTCCCCTCTTTACACACACTTAATAAAAATCATTTTTATTATAATTTTATTTTCAAGTGAAATTACTATTGTGGACATTAAATAAACACATTCAGAAATTGAATGTCGAAAAAATAAAAAAAAATTCGGAACTCTAGTTTCGAACAAGGTATTTATTTTCGGAATGTTGCTTCCGAACCAATTGTTTATTTTCGGAATTCTACTTCCAAATCAATTATTTATTGAAAAAGATGTGTAAAGAGGGGAATGGGTGTGTGCAAATAGAAGCTCACGTGCATGTCACATGCCTTATTTTAAAGGGTAAAATATAAATTTAATATTTTATACATTATTTAGCCAACTCAGTGAGTTAACTCACTCAAATAAACACACATGTGGATCTCAATTGTAGAAGAGAAGCGATGGTTTTTGTTTAACAGATGGTTTGACGGGGAAAAAGAAAGGGGGTCCGCTCAGTTGGGGTAAGGCCGTGAGATTCGACTGGTGTCCGTTGCTGAGAAGGTCACGGCTAGAGACCACTACTTTTGCAGCTGTTCCAATTGCTATAGATTGTGAGATTTCATCTTTCTCATCATCACCTCCTCATCTCTATTACATGCTATTTACCATTTTGGGGAATAGAACTGATCCAAGTTTTTCCTTCTTAAAATAAATAAAAACTTAACCAAGTTCTTTATGGAATTGTTTGTAAATTTTCTTATATTACTTTGAAAAAAATCTTTTTGTCAATGGTGTTTTGCTAAGATATTATGGAATTGATTCAATGTGAAAATTTTAGAAACCACTAATGTAATTTGTCCAATAAAAAAAGGCAAGTTCCGTTTGTCACTAGTAATTTTAGAAGTTTGAGATAAATATTATGATCTGGTTAGGAAGGAGGGGAAACGAAACTAATACAAATAATATGTAAACATAAAAATAATTAATAATAGAACATAAATTTCAATATAAAGATATAATAATTATTTTTTTATCTATATGATTAATGAATGGCCAATAATCCTACTTTTTTTTTTCAATGATATTTAGTTTACCATCTCAGGGTCACGATTGCATTGGTTAAGTTGATTCCATCACTAGTGACAATTTCAAGGCAATTGTGACAAATGAGATGGTAAAAAATGTGATCATGTAAATGAATGATTTTGCCTAGTGGCAAAAAGGATAGATCCTAAGAATGAATTGTAAATCCTAACATATCGAGATTGACTCTCACTAATATTTCTTAAACTTAACCGATACATGTGATTTATAGACAATTTTAAGAATTCGAGATTTACTTACTCTGAAGAGTGGGTCAAATGTAGCTTTCATGATTGCATTGGTTAAGTTGGTTCCATCACCCACATGGTGTAATTATTCTTTTTGTCCTTATTAGTCATAGAGATTCGAGAGTAGGAGAGAATTAAGTGGGGGAATTATTCATATAGGAACCATAATTAAGCTTATGTTTGGGAAGTTGAGGTTGGGATTTTTTTGGTTAAAGTAGCCATACACACACACAAGAAAAAAAAAAAAAAAGACTTTTTAGTCCAATAAGACAAAACATCATATCCAACTCATAATTATTACATTCTTTCTTTCACAAAAAGTCAAAAAGGCCAAAAAACCCTTCTCAAATGAAGTTATTTAACCGCAAACTAAAATAACCAAAAAATTAAAAAACCAACACACTTTCCAAACAAACCCCTAAGTAAATTTCCAATTAAAAAATCTTCCCACACCAGCAAAAGTTGAAAACCACCATCTAAGAACATTTTCAACCCCTATGGTTTGAGAAGTGGTTATTTTAATTAAATTTTTAATTTTTTTAACAAAAAATAAAAAGAATGATGTGATAATTTATAATGACTTTTTAACTATATGAGTCTAATGTCAAACAAGGTTTTTTTATTTTTTGATAAATTGCCAAGCAAGGTTTATCAAATTTAAATTTGAATAAAAATCTTGCAAAACACCTTTCCACTCATTAACTCAAATTTATATGAAATTGAGTTTTACCCCTTTTTTAACCCAAATTAAAGGAGACTTAAATATATACTCGAATTTTTTCAACATCATTTTGTAATCTTCAAATTTATCACTTTACCATTACTGAAGTTTTACTCAAATTTACGTTCAAACCTAAGTTTATCCATTGGAATGTCATATCAAATCAAACTTAGATCTTTAATTAAATTTGCAGCAGTGCCACATCCACACAATTTCTTCCCCTCACAATCTCCCTAATGAGATGGCAAAACAAAATACATGTAAAGAGAGTTTTGAGGAAATATTTAAATATAGGTCAACTTTTCAAATTTTTCTTGTCACATCATTTATTTTTTTTTTTTTGTGGGGTCGGTGGGCAGGGGAATTTTGTGGATGAATAATTTTCTTAAATGTGAGCAAAAAATTAAGGGCCAAAGATGGCCTAACAAACTTTTTAAAATCTGGCCTAAATTAAGTTGAAATAAGCTTAAATTATTTTACAATAGACCTACATAGACTTAGTTTATTGGTTTTGTCATAATGCTTGGTTAATTGGCTTATTATTTAGGGCAAATTGCACCAATAATTCCTATATTTATTTCTTATGCCATATTGATCCCTACACTTTCAATTGGCTCAATTTTAACCATTCATTTTAAATTTTGTGTCAATTTAGTCCAATTGATAATATTGTTAGTGTTTTTTAAAGAAAATTATTACTAAATTGTTTGAGGTTAACTCACTAAGTTGAGTAAGTTTATAATTTTACCCTTAAAAATATGATACGTAACACTTGAGTGCATATTTTCTATATAAAAATAAAATAAAATAAAATAAAATAAAAAAAGAATGCTAAGAGTTCAAATCAATTGGACCAAATCGAGACAAAGTCATAAATTCAGGGTCAAAATCGAGCCAACTGAAATTACAAGGACTAAAATTTCACAATGACCAAAATATAAGAACTACGCGTAATTTGCCCCATTGTTTATTGACTAATACCATTGTAAAGCAAGGCAAATACCTAACCTTAAGAAATTGTGAGTGTTAAGCAAGAATTCTAAGGTTGACTTAATAAGACACCTATAAATATACCTTGCTGTATATGATAAAAATATAAGTTGATCCAAAAAGGTTGAACTAGTTACTCCAAAAAGAGAGCCTAAAAGAGAACAAAATGGGAGAGTTCAATACTTAAGTGTCAAAGGTTATGAGGATGAGCAGGTCTGTGTGCCTTTGTGCCCTCCTAGGAATGCATTTTAGTGTCTATCTTGGCTTATTTTTGAATGTGTCCAAGGAATTTGGAGGAAAGAAAACACATATCACTTTAAGAATAAATTTGGTGAGTTTGAATTTGTTTCACTTTTCATATTTATCTAAATATTTGGTATCTACTTTTTGACTCATTTCTATAAAAATTAACCCTGTGTTTCCCAGGAAATAAAAAATGAAACACAATAAATAAATAAAAAGTGATAATTCTCATGTCTTCCATCTCATTTTAGTTTTCAATCTTATGATTTTTAATCTTCTCCTAATCGACAATTTGAAATCCAAATGTACAGATCAATCAGACAGCATTGTGGCAGGAGGATTCATGATGGGTTCATCACTTTGACAATCAAAGTTCTCCATTTCTCCATTGCCAAATGTTTACAGTTCAGATACTTGAGGCCACTGCAGCCTGCACATTCGACTGCATCCGTGCTATTTTGGGTTTCGTTTACTCGATCAATTTCTTCGATGTACTCTTGATTTTGATTTGTTTAATCTCTTTGTAAAGTTCATTCAAGCCAAAATGCTGTCATCAATCGCTATTTAACTAACACAATTGCAACAGCCTAACATTTCAGACCACAATTACTTTTATCCAGTCCACTAAAGAAACCTGGACACATATAGAGAGTGTTGCTTCGAATGGAGATAGCATTATTTGAGCCTACTTTTTTTTTTTTTGATAAATAACAAAACTTTATTAAGAAAGCATCAAGAAGATGCAAGCATTACAAAAGCGGCTTGAGACCTCGACCAAATTAAACAATCAAATCCTCTACAAACTCTACGAAAGCCAACACATCCGAATCTACGAAACCTATCACCCAGCTATACAAAACAATAAGAAGGCGTCTCTCTAGCCAAGAAATGGAGTGAGCCATCCCCTGAAACACCCGCCTATTATGCTCCAACCAAATCAACCACATTAAACAGTGGGACGCAAGAAGCCAAGCCTTCCGACGCCGCCGACCTACCCGTCCACCTACCCAACTTTGCACAACTGTGAGCATCGAACCTGGTTGAACCCAAACAAAACCAAAAACTACAATCATAAGCATCCAAAGAAAAGAGACGAGACTGGGCAAAGAATAAGCAAATGATCAACTGTTTCTGCTGCTCGACCACACAAACAACACCAATTGACCAAAATATGCCCACGACGAATCAAATTATCAATGGTCAAGATACCATCCAAACTTGTTGTCCATACAAAAAAGGTGACCTTTGAAGGCGAACCCGACAACCAAACACCTCTCCATGGATAAACCTTAGTGATATCCTGTGCAAACCCATCCCTAACAAGACTTCCATAAAAAGAAGAGACTGTAAAAACACCTTTGGATCTAGGACAATCCCAAACCAAAGTGTCTTGACCTTCCCTCACAAAATTCGATCCCAAACCAAATTACAGTCCACACTCAGAAGCTATGGGCACAACCTCTAGTGCTCTTGTGATGTTATTTGCTCGTTTTTTCATTGAAAAACTTGAGTTCATTTGTAGTAGTACAAATTCAAATGTGAGTTGCGTAGCGAGTGAGCGAGAAGCTCTTATGAAATTCAAAGGAAATCTCACAGATTATGCAAACCGTTTATTCTCATGGGTTAGAAAGGACTGTTACATGTGGAAGGGAGTTGGTTGTAGCAATAAAACAGGCCATGTTGTGAAGCTGGATCTGCATAATCCAATTCATGATCTAGTTTATCCAAATTTCAAAATGAACCAACTGGGTGGTCAGATAAGTCTTTCCTTACCCGATTTAAATCATTTGTATTACCTAGACCTGAGCATGAATTCATTTTATGGTCCGCTGCCATCATCACTTGGAAGACTATCATATTTGAGAGTGTTAGATACTGGAGATAATCAATTGAATAGGAGCATTCCAATAAGTCTTGGACAACTTGCAAAACTAGAATATCTAGATTTGTCAAAAAATGCATTGAATGGGAGCATCCCAACAAGTCTGGGACAACTTTCAAAACTAGAATATCTAGATTTGTCAAAAAATGCATTGAATGGGAGCATCCCAACAAGTCTGGGACAACTTTCAAAACTAGAATATCTAGATTTGTCAAAAAATGCATTGAATGGGAGCATCCCAACAAGTCTGGGACAACTTTCAAAACTAGAATATCTAGATTTGTCAAAAAATGCATTGAATGGGAGCATTCCAACAAGTCTGGGACAACTTTCAAAACTAGAATATCTAGATTTGTCAAAAAATGCATTGAATGGGAGCATTCCAACAAGTCTGGGACAACTTTCAAAACTAGAATATCTAGATTTGTCAAAAAATGCATTGAATGGGAGCATTCCAACAAGTCTGGGACAACTTTCAAAACTAGAATATCTAGATTTGTCAAAAAATGCATTGAATGGGAGCATTCCAACAAGTCTGGGACAACTTTCAAAACTAGAATATCTAGATTTGTCAAAAAATGCATTGAATGGGAGCATTCCAACAAGTCTGGGACAACTTTCAAAACTAGAATATCTAGATTTGTCAAAAAATGCATTGAATGGGAGCATTCCAACAAGTCTGGGACAACTTTCAAAACTAGAATATCTAGATTTGTCAAAAAATGCATTGAATGGGAGCATTCCAACAAGTCTGGGACAACTTTCAAAACTAGAATATCTAGATTTGTCAAAAAATGCATTGAATGGGAGCATTCCAACAAGTCTGGGACAACTTTCAAAACTAGAATATCTAGATTTGTCAAAAAATGCATTGAATGGGAGCATTCCAACAAGTCTGGGACAACTTTCAAAACTAGAATATCTAGATTTGTCAAAAAATGCATTGAATGGGAGCATTCCAACAAGTCTGGGACAACTTTCAAAACTAGAATATCTAGATTTGTCAAATAATGCATTTGTTGGTACCGTATATGAACTTCACTTTGCCAAACTCAATAGTTTAAATGAATTGTACTTGCATTCAAATTCATTAGTTTTGAAAGTGACCTCCCAATGGGTTCCTCCCTTTCAACTCCAAGTCATACAATTGTCATCCATCAAAGTAGGACCCCAATTTCCTCAATGGCTCAAAACACAAAAAAATGTTACAGAGTTATACATGTCAAATGCAAGCATCTCAGTTGTCATTCCTGATTGGTTTGAGAGTCTTTATTGTGGCATTATACACTTGGATCTTTCTAACAACCAGATCAAAGGAAAGGTGACAATATTTCAAAAATGTAAATATAGTGCTCATGATAAACAGTTACTATTGAGTTCTAACAGATTTGAGGGCCCACTAGCACCGCTTCCTTCAGATGTTTATGTCTTGGATCTCTTCAACAACTTGCTTTTAGGACCTATTACTGTGAGTGATGATAATGCGACGATGAGTTTGAGTTATCTTTTTCTCTCAAATAACAATTTGACTGGTGTCATTCCAGTGTCTTTGTGAAAGGCAAAGGATATAAATATTATTGATTTCTCAAACAATCAGTTATCAGGAAAAATTCCTCCTTGCTTGGGGCAATTGGATCAGTTGTCGGTGCTAGATTTGACGAATAATAGTCTATATGGTGAAATTCCAAGTTCATTGGGTTCCCTACAATTTCTCACTTCCTTGCACTTGCGTAACAATAAGTTTCATGGGAAGCTTCCTTTGTCCTTACAGAATTTGACACAACTTTTCACCATTGATCTAGGTGAAAATGTGCTCACTGATAATATCCCTCCATGGATTAGATATAACCTAACTAATCTTAGATTTTTCAGTCTTCAATCAAATAATTTCTATGGTGATATTCCTCCACAACTCTGTTATCTCCAAGATTTGCAATTGTTGAACTTGGCACAAAATAACATAACGGGAAATATCCCTCGTTGTTTTGGCAACTTCACTGCCATGGTTGACCTACATCGTGGGCACTTTTCTTATCGATTTAATTATTCTATTGAAGCAAATTATGAAGAGAACATTTTGGATTCAATGAAAGGAAGAGAACTAGAATACACCAAGACACTCAAATTTCTCGTCTCCATGGACCTTTCGAACAATGGCATTGTTGGAGAGATTCCAAAAGAGTTAATGGATCTTTCTGGATTGCTCAACTTGAATTTATCTGGAAATCATCTAAAAGGAAGGATCCCTAATAATATTGGCAATTTGACACAATTGCAATCTCTTGATTTGTCTCAAAACAAACTTTCTGGCCCCATTCCTCCAAGTCTGTCTAGTTTAA